TCTTTATCACATCTGTTTCTTAGTTTCACTGCCAATATGAATATTTAGAATAATTATATTTTAATTTTGTTATATTTTCCAGGCTGTTGATGAGCATAACATGCCAGGGATGGACAGGGTGGACAGCCTGGCAGAGTACCTGGTTGGGCTGAGAAATGAGACGTCTCTCACTCTCAGCAACCAGCAGACCAGCACCATTTTGTCACTGTGGCAAAATCTTCTGCCATTTGACCAGCAGCGGGTGGTCTATGCAGCCAGGTACCAGGAGAGGCTGAAGACGGGGTACTTCAGGTCACCAAAAAATAAATTGGAATTCACCCCCGGTGCGGAGAGCATGAGGCGCTGCGTCCTGGGGTCAAGTGGATCACCTGCACAGTGGCCCGACTGTTGTCGGCTTGTGGAGGCCATCTTTGTCAGGCTCTGTCAGCTGCACAAGAGCCCAAAGAAAAAGGGAAAGGGCAGCCTGACAAGATGGTCTCTCATGCTGAAGGACTATCGGAAGGTTAGGCAGCTGGTGAGGGACAATGGAGCTCTAATGAAGGCCACCACTCTCCAGCTGTATGAGGTCAACCAGACCACCCTCACACAGTGGCACAATCATAGAGTGAAGAGGCAGGATTTGGCAGTCCTTCTGCAGGGGGTCAACCTGCCTGCCCCTCTTCCTGTAGCCCCTGTGCCTCTGCCACCAGCTCTAGGGCGCCCCACCTTTGTCCCTCAGCAGTGTGGACCTCAGCATGTCTACAGTCTGCCCAAATCCACTGCAGGACAGGCACTTTTAAAAAGGAAGCATGCTGCGCCACACACTGCTGCTCCAGCCACTGTCCGGCCAAAGGTGCCCATTCAGAGGCAGTTATTTCCCCTGCCTGCACCTCTGCCTACAGCTGCTCCTGCCCTTGTAAACCCTACCCCTGCCCAAAGCCCCTTGTTGTTAATGTTGGCTGTCCCCTCTCCCAGGCCTATCGCCCCTGATGGACCTCTTCCCCCTCCACCCCCTTCCCAGAGGCCCTACAATCGTCAGGTGGAACATAATAAGTGCCGCAAATGCCATCAGCCCCGGAACAAAGACAGTGGCCACAGGCAATTTCATGGATACATTTATTGCCCCACTTTCGCAGGGATGCCACTGGAGCAGTGGCTGGAAGAAATGAGGAGGAAAAGGGCCGAGAATAAATGATGATTCATTGTTCTCCCCTTCTGTCTGCCCCGTCCTGTATGTCTCTTCACATTTTAGTTTTTTAAAATGCTTACATGGCATTCAAATAAGGAGTGTGTACCGTCCCGTCCATGTAAACACGCTGTAGATACTGCTTGGAAAATCAACCACAGCTGGACTCGAGTGTCCCACTCATTGTAGACAGTCATGACTCACAGAGTCTGCTGCAGGTGTAAAATCTCAAGTTCAGAGATTCAGATTCAATCTACAGCATTAGTCTGTTTGAGGCTAGAGGCTAAAACGCCAAATATATCATTATTTTGTTTAAAGGAAATGTCCTAAAATGTGAAATGTGCCTTTTATTTAAATGTTTTTAGATTTTTTAATTGAAATATGTCAATAAATGTGTGTGCTTCTACTCCAATTCTTACATTTGACTTATTTCTTAGCAATTTGACAAAGTAATATAAAAATTATATTACAATAATATTTGCTATTTTTTAGTAAGTAAAGTCTTATATCTAAAACAATTAGATGACTTATGTCAATACCACTTAACTTCTGAGAAGAAATGAAAAACAAACACAATATCACTTTCCTACACATTTTGAATGCTAAACAGAATCAAGTATTGTTTTCTTATTTAAAATTACTTTTTCATCTGAACAATCCAAAACACTTTGTGAAGTTTGTTTCGGTCCAGACAGGGTTCGAACCCCCGTCCTTCGGATCCAATCTTCCCCTATTATCCCCCATATGAAAACTAGAAATATTCATCATTTTGAGTAATTTCTAAAATTTTATGAAAACTAATGACTTGGAGTAACTTTTGACTTGCAGAAGGGCCATTAAGAGTTCTTCTTTCTTTCTCTTTTTTCTCTTTTTTCCTCTTTTTCCTCTCCTTTTCCTCCTTTTCCTCCTTCCCCCTTCTCCCCCTTCTTTCCTCTTTCTTCCCCCCCCCATACAGACTATTGTTCCCCAGCTTTAGCGGAGTCGGTAGAGCATGAGACTCTTAATCTCAGGGTCGTGGGTTCGAGCCCCACATTGGGTGCTATCTTCATCATTCAGAACATAGATGAGGAATGTGTGACAGGCCTTTCACGTGAGCTGTTTCACACATCTTCTACATGTCCATACATTGTTTACTCATGATGTATAATAGTATGCATAATAAAAATTGACGTCAATTTCTTGAAATTGTAGCCCGATTAGCTCAGTCGGTAGAGCATGAGACTCTTAATCTCAGGGTCGTGGGTTCGAGCCCCACATTGGGTGCTATCTTCTTCATTCAGAACATAGATGAGGAATGTGTGACAGGCCTTTCACATGAGCTGTTTCACACATCTTTTACATGTCCATACATCATTTACTCATAATGTATAATAGTATGCATAATAAAAATTGACGTCATTTTCTAAAAAATATAGCCCAGTTAGCTCAGTCGGTAGAGCATGAGACTCTTAATCTCAGGGTCGTGGGTTCAAGCCCCACATTGGGTGCTATCTTTATCCTTTCAAACATAGATGTGAAACATAGAACAGGCCTTTCACGTGAGCTGTTTCACACATCTTATACATGTCCATACATCATTTACTCATTATGTATGCATAACAAAAATTGACGTAATTTTCTTAAAAATATCACCAGGTTAGCTCATTCGGTAGAGCATGACACTCTTAATCTCAGGGTCGTGGGTTCGAGCCCCACATTGGGTGCTATCTTTATCGTTCAGAACATAGATGTGGAACATGTGACAGGCCTTTCACGTGAGCTGTTTCACACATCTTATACATGTCCATACATCATTTACTCATGATGTATAATAGTATGCATAACAAAAATTGACGTCATTTTCTTAAAAATGTAGCCCGGTTAGCTCAGTCGGTAGAGCATGAGACTCTTAATCTCAGTGAGCTGTTTCACACATCTTATACATGAGCTGTTTCACACATCTTATACATGTCCATACATCGTTTACGCATGATGTATAATAGTATGCATAACAAAAATTGACGTCATTTTCTCAAAAATGTAGCTCGGTTAGCTCAGTCGGTAGAGCCTGAGACTCTTAATCTCAGGGTCGTGGGTTCAAGCCCGACATTGGGTGCTATCTTCATCGTTCAGACCATAGATGTGGAACATGTGACAGGCCTTTCACGTGAGCTGTTTCACACATCTTATACATGTCCATACATCATTTACTCATGATGTATAATAGTATGCATAACAAAAATTTACGTAATTTTCCAAAAAATATAGCCTGGTTAGCGGTGAGCGACGGCAGTACGACTGGATCTCAGCTTTCAATCGCTCTGTCCCGTTTTCATCTTTCCTCATCATTCTAAGCCAATCGCGTCGCCCCGTTCTCATCTTTCCTCAAAAATGTTAGCCAATCGCGTGGCTGGCATTGCATCTTTAGACTCCGAGCCAATCGCAGCCCCGCAAGCTTGCGCTGCGTGCGAGCCAATCGGAAATGAGCGCTCGCCTCGATATCCCGCCCATACATTTTCGCCGGTAGCGGAGAATCCATTGAACGGGACTCGACTTCATCATCGCTCAAGGTAAACTGTCATCAATTAAACTATTGTCTGTCACTCATAATATATTATTTTCCCGTAGTTAGATTGTTCATTGTGGTTAGTTTGACTAGTTTGACTGACTGAATGTGTACAGGGTAAACGCTAGCTAGTTAAAGAAACTTTGTTATCCAAGTTTAACGTTACGTTAACTTGACGGTGTTGAATAACTTGACGGTAAGAAGCCGGCCGGTCACCTTGGTTAACACAGACCATATCTTCATTCACTAAAATGATTGTTGCTGCTAGAGTTAGAGACGTGTAAGTTATGTTTTTATCTTATTTTGCCGTGTCGTGTTAACATCGTCATTATCCATAGGGTTTCAGGCTCGGCTCCTGCATCGGGCCACTTCATCTAAAACAGAATATCTCATTCTAATTCTATATAGCTAACTTAGTTATGAATAAATTGAATCGCCCTATTTAACGAGCTTAATGCGAAAAGCAGATGTATTAGTAAAACATAATGCAGAGTTTAGTTGTGGTAGGCTGTTTATCAATAGATTTCATAATAGCCACGACTGAAATAACAGAAAAACTGAGCGGACACTGCCCCCCCCCCCCCCCTCCCCCCCCTCGTTGAATTTATTCAGTTCTGTATTTTACTTTTGCCATACTTTATCCAGTTTTTGTTCTAGTTATGCTGGTCTAACAATGGTATTATCCCACAGAGATTTATAAAGTCCTGTCTTATATTACATCATCTTATGGTCGCAGCATTAGCCCATGTGTACATATGAAGGGAGTTGATGGGATATTAATTTTGACTTCTTTTGGCCACAGATGGCAACAAAACAAAAAAGCACAAGGCTATGGGTGATGAGGAGTGGATGTCACGCCTGCGGAGATTCGCTGCTTCAGGGTTTGGCCCTCTGATGCAGGAAACAGGCCTGCTCCCCGCCAGAAGAAGTGGAATGACCTCTATCTGAAGGTATAGTTGTATTAAGCAATTACAATACAGTCACACATGATAAAGCTAATAGAAACACTTGCTTATTTTTTGTCATGAAATATTACAGATTGACAAATGCCCGATGCAACGGAGGGGACAGGCATCTCTGTTTGGGGGCCACAGACATGTGGCTGTGGTTTCCACACTAAGAAGGTATTTTTAAACTAACATCAAATTGTTGTGTGCACATTTTTGTTGTTGTGTCGTTTGCTTGAAATGACTTCAAAAGTCTCTGTACATCTTTACCTTCCAGCTCAGTCCCTGACACCCCATTTCCCCGTACCACTGTTGCACTGGTCAAGGGCAAGGCCCTTCAAGCTGCTGCTGCTGCTGCTGCCTCCTCAGCATCAACATCTGCTGGACCTGTGCAGAGGCCTGCTTTGAATCTGGCTATGGTAAATCTACTACTGAATAAATACACATGATCATGCATCCTGTAAGATTACATTCATTTTCTTTCAGTTTACAAAACCACGGTTTGGCGGGTCGCATGGTGCTGCTTTGAAGCCAAATTTAACTGTGGCTAGGAAGCCTGCAAAGGTACAGTATGGTGACAGTCTAGGCATACATTTGATTTATAGTATTGCTTGTGACATAATTTCTCCTTGGTTAAATGCTTTATCATGTCTTATTATGACACAATGATTTATTATGCCTAGTAGTGATACATGATTTTGTAGATATTCATTAGCCTGTATTTCCTCCTGTTTCTCTCTCAGCCCCTTATTAGCACATCGACCAGTGCCACCACAAACGTCGACACTGCAACACCAACATCAGGGAGGACATCATCCCCTGCCCAGAGTCCCAGAAAACATATTAGGACCAGCTCCCCTTTCTCTCTTCCCCACTCTCCTCATTCATCAGCTTCAATAATCCCCCCAGCCACTGCTAAAGCTGTAAGAACCCTTTTCAATTGTGTTGTTCACAAATAATTTTTGTGTGCCAAACTTAACCTAAGCAGTTCAGTGATCAATGGTGTGTTCATGTGCTTAAATGCCTTATCATTGCCTGAAGCTATACTTCAAATTTTAATCTTATATGCCAATAATGATACACGATTTAGTTTATAACCTTGTATTTCCTCCTGTTTCTCTCTCAGCCCCTTATTAGCACATCGACCAGTACCACCACAAACTTTGGCACTGCAACACCAACATCAGGGAGGACATCATCCCTGCCCAGAGTCCCAGAAAATATATTAGGACCAGCTCCCCTTTCTCTCTTCCCCCACTCCTGTGTCATCAGCCTCAATAATCCCCCAGCCACTGCCGCTGTAAGAATCCTATTGATAATTTTTTGTTGTTGTTGCCAAACATCAAACCCTAACCTAAGCAGTTCAGTGATTTATGATGTGTTAATGTTTTATTTGTGTGTGTCTTTCTGTACATAATTTGTTTATTATTAGGTTGTAACAGCTGCTCCCTCCAGTGCCTCCTCAGACCCTTCTGTCTGTGCCTCCTCTACCACTCCTGGTCCTGATCCTCTCAGCAATATGTCAGCGGAGGATGTGTTGGCTGCCCCTGGCCCTGACCTACCCTGGCTGCCAGTGAAGATGAGGATGACCATCCCCCTCCAGGACCAGAGATGGATCTCTGCAGCTCTGTGGAGAAACCAGCGGCTACGGACCGACCTGAAGCTGTGGTACGAGCCACCCGGGCCAGCGCTCATCTACCATCAGGCCCCCACTCCAGAGCGCTTTTTTAATCATCGCCTGCTTGTGTGGATGCCGTACCACTTGTGGAAGGTCAGGCTAACCTGTCCTGTGTGTGGGAAGCAGCTGGTGGGATACGGTGCCCACAAGAGAGCCCGTCAGGTCCTTGACGTGGACAGGTACTACCTGATGGTCACAGAGACCCTCAGGTGCAACAGCATTGGTTGCAAAACCAACTACCTGTCCAGCAGCAAGACCATCCTGGACCAGCTTGACCTGGCTCACCGGCTCGAATTCAGGCTCATCCTGACTCAGAAGTGAGTATAAAGACACCACTGTAACGAGCATGTACAAAAAAATGTTAATGAGAATACATATTATTGTGTTACATTGTTTATTTGAAAATTGTCTGTAATTGAAACAGACTGCTATAAGAGGTTGGACTGTCTTTTTGTGTTTGTCTAAATGTCTCTGTCTCTTCCCTTTCTTTTAATACAGATATGCTTGTGACATTCGGGTCATCCGCTTCTTGCGGGAGAGGACCCTGGGCAACAGCCCGTCTCGCTTGGTGAAGCAGCTGAGGGAGAACCACAGCGAGGAGTGGCTGCAGCGCCTCTGCCAGTACCTTGGGGCATGCTCTGACTTTGTGGGCCGGCCCAGCCTGTTCCCTGTGGTGTTTCAGGACCCGCCTGAGCCTGTGGCCATTCCCACCTATAAGTGGATGCTGGCGGTCTACGGGCGGGACATCTTAAGCAGGCTGGAGCACATCAAAGCCAGCATTACATCTACCTTTGGCTCCATCCTGAAGATGGACTCCACAAAGAAGGTACAATTCCTCATCACTGCTCTTATTCTCATGTCACAATTCTACAAAAACGTGTATCAAAGCATCACTCAAACTGACAAAATGACTAAAAAGGGATATTCTTCATCCCTAAGTCGCAATGTTAAAATGATTTTACCTGTAAAAGGCTGTTAAACTGTACTGAAAAAGAATGGTATACTTACAAAATGTAAATACATAAGTCAATACCAGACAAAATGATATGCTAGTTAGACCTAAGTCACTGAATGTTTCCTCTGTATACTTTCAGATCACCAGGAAGTTATCGGGCATTGCCAAGGGGACTGCCCTCTGGCTTTCCTCAGTTAGTAACGAGGTGGGTCAGATCTTGATCAGTGTCCTGACTGCTCAGGAAGGCTCTGGGCTGGACCTGATGGTGGCTGATCTCATCCGGAGGTACAGGGAAGCAGGTGTGGCTCCTCCAAAGCTCCTGTATGTGGACTGTGGATGCTGCAAGAAGGATGGGGAGGAGACCAAGCTTAAGGCACGATTTGGTGGCTGGCCAGACGTTGTGGTCAAGCTGGACATTTATCATTTCATGCGGCGGCTGGCATCAGGATGCACCAAGGATGCCCATCCCTTTACCCCATCTTCATGGCTCGTCTGTCCTGCTGCATATTTGAGTGGGATGCAGGTGACTTTGCCTTGCTGCGCCGGGTCAAGAGGGAGCAGCTGAAACGGGAGGGGGTTCCTGGCATCACTGATAGCCTTGTGAACCAGAACATTAGGAAGAGTGAGTTGGTGCTCTACTGCAGAAGGAGGACAAGAGGAGAGAAGGAGACCATCTCAATGATTGACCTCCTTTTGCAAGAGCTTATGGGGGAGAAGGGCAGTGACTTCCTTGGTGTGCCACTCCTGGACAGGGATAGGATGGCGAACATCTGGGAACAGCAGAGGAAGCATGTAAAATGCATCCAGGATGAGCCAGGTGTTCCTCTCTACACAGAGACAGGATCATCCACCAAGGAGGGCATCGTCCTCACCACCTACAGGTGTGCCAGGGGCTCAACATCACTGGAGTCCTTCCACTGCCACCTGGCCAGGTTCATTCCAGGTCAGTTTCAATTAAGTATAACCTAGCTCTTTGACATAAAGTATTTAGCATAGAACATGTGTCACCTGACATTGTACAAATAGCTCATTGTATGAATTTAAAATATATGTTGTTTTTATTTTAAGGAACCAGTGCCAACAGTTTGAATTTTCAGCTGTACCTCCTGGAAGGCCTGAACAGGTGGAACCAGGACCGTGGTGCTGCGGCACTGGCTGTCAAACCTCCCTCACTCCTCACCTACTCAGGGGACCTTGTGCACTGTGTCAACACCTTCAGTGTCAAGGTGCTTGGAAGGAAACTTGCCCCCTCCTTCCAACCCCCTGCAGTGTATACTGGTGTGTGTCACTTTCCCATCATAATTAATGGTTTTATTTCATACCTTTTAGATATCATTATCATTACTGAGTGAGTTTTATAATAAAGTTTAACAGCTAACTCAGAGTACATATTTAAAAAGGCCATGCAACGGTTTTGTCTTTTGAAGAAGCTAACCTGCTTTTTTAAAAACTCAGAAGCTCTGTTGTGTTGTATGGTTCTGTTTAATTCAACCATGGTTAAGCCAAAAAACACATTTTCAGAAATGAGCAATGAGTATTCTCTTTTCGTTCCCAGGAGAGCTGATAGGTATTGACTACCTGTACCGCCAGACAGGAAGGGCAATGCAGAATGTTGACCCTGAAACAGAGGAGACGGAGCAACTGTTGGAGGATGTGGCTGTTGAGGAGCCAGAGGATGAGGGTTTTGATGATGGCGGACATGACCCCACATTTGACATTATTCTGGGTAAAACCCTCAGCCAGTCTGGCCCCACAGCTCCCACCACCAGCATTACCTCTGCCCCTCCTGCTCTAACCACCAGCATGCCCTCTGGCCACCCAGCTCCCACCACCAGCATGACCTCTGGCTACCCAGCTCCCACCACCAGCATGACCTCTGGCTACCCAGCTCCCACCACCAGCATGACCTCTGGCCACCCAGCTCCCACCACCAGCATGACCTCTGGCCACCCAGCTCCAACCACCACCATGCCCTCTGCCCTCCTGCCCCCATCACCAGCATGCACTCTAGCCCCACAGATCCCACCACCACCATGCCCTCTGCCCCCCAGCTCCCACTGTATCTGAGCAACTGTTGGTAAGTGTTTGTGTGATGTACTGCATCATTCTTTATCACATCTGTTTCTTAGTTTCCCTGCCAATATGAATATTTAGAATAATTATATTTTAATTTTGTTATATTTTCCAGGCTGTTGATGAGCATAACATGCCAGGGATGGACAGGGTGGACAGCCTGGCAGAGTACCTGGTTGGGCTGAGAAATGAGACGTCTCTCACTCTCAGCAACCAGCAGACCAGCACCATTTTGTCACTGTGGCAAAATCTTCTGCCATTTGACCAGCAGCGGGTGGTCTATGCAGCCAGGTACCAGGAGAGGCTGAAGACGGGGTACTTCAGGTCACCAAAAAATAAATTGGAATTCACCCCCGGTGCGGAGAGCATGAGGCGCTGCGTCCTGGGGTCAAGTGGATCACCGGCACAGTGGCCCGACTGTTGTCGGCTTGTGGAGGCCATCTTTGTCAGGCTCTGTCAGCTCCACAAGAGCCCAAAGAAAAAGGGAAAGGGCAGCCTGACAAGATGGTCTCTCATGCTGAAGGACTATAGGAAGGTTAGGCAGCTGGTGAGGGACAATGGAGCTCTAATGAAGGACACCACTCTCCAGCTGTATGAGGTCAACCAGACCACCCTCACACAGTGGCACAATCATAGAGTGAAGAGGCAGGATTTGGCAGTCCTTCTGCAGGGGGTCAACCTGCCTGCCCCTCTTCCTGTAGCCCCTGTGCCTCTGCCACCAGCTCTAGGGCGCCCCACCTTTGTCCCTCAGCAGTGTGGACCTCAGCATGTCTACAGCCTGCCCAAATCCACTGCAGGACAGGCAAAAAGGAAGCATGCTGCGCCACACACTGCTGCTCCAGCCACTGTCCGGCCAAAGGTGCCCATTCAGAGGCAGTTATTTCCCCTGCCTGCACCTCTGCCTACAGCTGCTCCTGCCCTTGTAAACCCTACCCCTGCCCAAAGCCCCTTGTTGTTAATGTTGGCTGTCCCCTCTCCCAGGCCTATCGCCCCTGATGGACCTCTTCCCCCTCCACCCCCTTCCCAGAGGCCCTACAATCGTCAGGTGGAACATAATAAGTGCCGCAAATGCCATCAGCCCCGGAACAAAGACAGTGGCCACAGGCAATTTCATGGATACATTTATTGCCCCACTTTCGCAGGGATGCCACTGGAGCAGTGGCTGGAAGAAATGAGGAGGAAAAGGGCCGAGAATAAATGATGATTAATTGTTCTCCCCTTCTGTCTGCCCCGTCCTGTCTGTCTCTTCACATTTTAGTTTTTTAAAATGCTTACATGGCATTCAAATAAGGAGTGTGTACCGTCCCGTCCATGTAAACACGCTGTAGATACTGCTTGGAAAATCAACCACAGCTGGACTCGAGTGTCCCACTCATTGTAGACAGTCATGACTCACAGAGTCTGCTGCAGGTGTAAAATCTCAAGTTCAGAGATTCAGATTCAATCTACAGCATTAGTCTGTTTGAGGCTAGAGGCTAAAACGCCAAATATATCATTATTTTGTTTAAAGGAAATGTCCTAAAATGTGAAATGTGCCTTTTATTTAAATGTTTTTAGATTTTTTAATTGAAATATTTCAATAAATGTGTGTGCTTCTACTCCAATTCTTACATTTGACTTATTTCTTAGCAATTTGACACAGTAATATAAAAATTATATTACAATAATATTTCCTTTTTTTTAGTAAGTAAAGTCTTATATCTAAAACAATTAGATGACTTATGTCAATACCACTTAACTTCTGAGAAGAAATGAAAAACAAACACAATATCACTTTCCTACACATTTTGAATGCTAAACAGAATCAAGTATTGTTTTCTTATTTAAAATTACTTTTTCATCTGAACAATCCAAAACACTTTGTGAAGTTTGTTTTGGTCCAGACAGGGTTCGAACCCCGTCCTTCGGATCCAATCTTCCCCTATATGAAAACTAAAATATTCATCATTTTGAGTAATTTCTAAAATTTTATGAAAACTAATGACTTGGAGTAACTTTTGACTTGCAGAAGGGCCATTAAGAGTTCTTCTTTCTTTCTCTTTTTTCTCTTTTTTCCTCTTTTTCCTCTCCTTTTCCTCCTTTTCCTCCTTCCCCTTCTCCCCTTCTTTCCTCTTTCTTCCCCCCCATACAGACTATTGTTCCCCAGCTTTAGCTCAGTCGGTAGAGCATGAGACTCTTAATCTCAGGGTCGTGGGTTCGAGCCCCACGTTGGGCGAAATTCCTTTTTCTCAAACGTGGGAATTACTGTTAGGATCAAAATATAGGAATTTAAACACATTTATTGTTGAACATTTTAAACCTCTCTACTCAAGTAGAAACTTAGAAACGGGATTAACCGTCCTGTTAGTCCTCCTTTCACTACCGAACTAATGAAACGAATAAAACGAACTTCGATTTGAGTTGGTTCAGAGCGTTTGTTTTGTCGGTTCGAGCCGAACAAAGGGAAGACAATAAGAAAATAAAGGGGGTAGGAAAAAAAAAGAAGATTTAAGGAAAAATATCATTGTATACGATGAATTTCTTTGAATTTCTCTGTTCAGAGGTAGGGGCTTCGTGAGACAGAAAAAGAGGTCTAGGTGTAGGCTGAAGGTGTAGAGGGTCCAGGTTATGTAGCCTATCATGAAGGTTTCTGTGGCATGTTTAATGCTTGAATGCTGCTGGACAGTAGGCTATTTGTGTGTCCTTCAGTATTAGGCTCAAAAAGGACAAACCAGCACATCATTTATTCATTTATATGCTGAATACAACTTTAAATACAACCTTTGGTTTTATTTGAGTAGGCCTACTTTATTTATTCTGTTCTAAAAATGTAAAATCTACTGAACATAATAAGTTGAGCATTTACAGGCTTGTAAGGCTTAAAAGATAAAAGATGAATTCACTGTGTTAGTGGCCTTTTGCTGTCAAAATCTACACCTCAAGTTTTAGAAACTCAAACTCCATCGGCATACAGAGGAAGGAAGTAAATTTAAACAGAACCAGAGCCATGCTATCTTGTGGTCAAATGTAAAGCTTATCAAGCAGTTCAACACTGACAAAGCAGACAAAGCAACCTGTTCTTGTCATATCCTATTGTGATTTTCTTGTGATTCCCACTCCTAAATGTATTGCTTATTTTAACAGGGACAGCTCACAATTACATGCAATTGCACCAGCGTTTTTTTTTTTCTTCAAATTATTCTGATTTAAACTCTACAATAAAGTGACCTTTCTTCTCTTGTTCACATCATTTGCATTCACATTTTTCAGACTCTGTACCTTGGTCAGAGGCCCTGCAGGACAGCTCTGTGCTCTGGTCTCTTGTTGTGGATTTGGGGCTGCTGGCTCTCTTCACCACACAGCACAGTCTGCTGGCCTGGTCTCCTGTCAAACAGGCCCTGCAGTCAGTGCTGGGAGCCCTAAACAGGACGGCATACTGCTTCACCACTGCACTGACCCTCCAGGTGCAGCAACACACACTCTCAAAGTTTATAAAATGCTGCTTTTATCTGCTGCTGTTGTGGACGACAAGTTAACTTGTTATATGAAGTTACTTTAACTGCTTTGTTGACTTAACATTGGACATGTTGTTTCTTTACACCACTCTGCATCATTATTCTTTTCCCTCTCATATCAGATTTTAATGCGTTACTGGCAGCCTGTGACCAGCGCCC